TTTTTAAGTGAAGAAACATTTTTTAAAAGGTAATTGATCCATAATAATTATACATATTTATGGGGAATAGTGAAATACTTAGATACATGTAGAGAATGTATGATGGTCAAATCAGAATATTGATATCACTATATCTCAAACATTATTTCTTTTTGTTGTTCATATTCAAATTCCTCTTTTCCAGCTGTTTTGAAACCATCCATTATTTTTAACTATAGTCACCTATTGTTCTAGGGAGCACTAGAACTTAGTCATCTGACCTAACTAATTTTGTACCTATTGACTTACCTCTGCACTTTCTACATGACACCCTCTACCCTCCAGTGACTACTATTCCATGCTGTATGATATCTACTTTCCACATGAGGGAAGAAGCATTATTAAAAAAAAAAGCATAACAAATTAAAAACTCTCACATTTTACCTTTTAAATGTTACCATGACAAATATGAATATTTATCTGACTATATCATGTTATGATAAAATCTGGTCTTCTGAAACTTCAACATTTGGTTGGCATGTTTTAAAATGTATCATTTGTTTCGCATTTGATCAAGAATCATTTTTATTGAGTGGCTATTATGTGCTTTTCCAAGTGTTTATGATGCAATAACCAAGTAAGGTTCTCTAGAGACATTTTGCTGAAGTTTGGAGGTTTTGCCAACTTCTTAAACTGAACAGAACAATTCCCTTTATGCAATTATTATATGTAACATCAGAAGTCATATGTCAATTTCTTCCAGAGGAAAATGATTCAAGTTTACTTGACATATTATTTAACTTCGAATCAAATGAAATTTTTCTGGCAAAATAAATATATCTAATTAGACATTTATACAATTTTACCAGGACAAATATTTTTTAACTTTTTGCTTTCTCAATGACATAATAAGAAGGATAATTATATATTTATGCAATAAATATGCTAAAAAGTTGTTTTCCAATTATTTCTTAATGTGAAAATAACATATACATCCTCCTGTGCTCTGAGACACATCTCATCTTCTCAAATGGAAAAGTGTTCTGACCTGCATCAAGACAGCCATACTCATGAGGCACTCAAAAGGATAAAATACAAGTTACTAATCCATGGGAGATGGTATTTGCTTCACACTATGGATCATGAATTTATAAAGTGCCTGAGTACAAAATTAATGTACATGCCAAGTCTTCTTGGTTAACCATCAACCTCTCTAAGTTTGAAAAGCTTCCCCTGCCTATAGCAATAATAGTTCTCTTCTATCCTGGAAAGAGGAGTAGCATTTGGGGGATCTCTTCATTTTATGATTTATCAAGTTGGTATAGTATTTTCCCCTGGTGATTGTAAGTTTGAACTAACTTTGGTTTATTTTGACACAAATAGAGCAACTGAGCTGAAGGGGGGAAAATGGGAACATATAACAACAACAGCAACAAAAATATTCATAAAATGAGACTTCTAGACCTACATTTGCACCAAATTTCCACTCTGTAATTGCTGTATACTTATACTCAATTTGGAAAGAATAAGACACTTTCCTTGAAATTATAGAGACATGGACATGGGAAGTATGATTGTCATTTCTAATATATCCACACAAGGAACAGATCTTCAAGTCTTAAAAGACTGGTTGCCAGTTTTCATTTTCTTTCTGAATATAAAGACAATAGTAAGCTTAGGCTAGTTGTTTTCCTACCAAGGTCAGCTTGCAGTAGCTGATCTGAAACACATACTCAAAGTTCTCCTCTTCACTTTTAGCAATGGATGGAAGGTTCTTGGATTTATCTTGCCTCATCTACATATTACTGGACACATTAGTAGGCAATAACTAAACAGAAATGGTGATACCATTAGCCAACTATAATACTGCCACGTGCTTAGAGCATATATTTCAAAACCAACATGGTATGAAATTTCTCCCATCCTGCTAGACAATGCAACCAGCAAAGTGGCATGGATGCAAGTGTCCCTAACAATCATGGTGATAAAGCAGCTTGAAGTTAAAATATCGATTCTGGGAATCCAGCATGCATTGACTGATGCATCAGCACTTCAGCCTGTCACATTCCAATGACAAGGGCAGAGCTGAGAGACACATCCTATTTTATAAAATGCAGCCTGGGTTTAGTACTGAGGATCACAGCCGCTTTGTGATTTTTGTAATGCTGAATGGTGCTCTGTTATGATTGAAAGATCCTTCAGGGACCAAAGGTATGTAGTCAGACTTATTCAACTTAATATTTAAATAATGCCACACTCACTCTATCCCAGTCAAGAATAAAACATCATTGATACTTTTCCATGCATAGCAAACATAAATATTTAGTGTCTCAAATTTTCTGATTGAAAAAGAATGCAGTCTTTCATTTGGGCTGCTATAACTGAGTAGATGATTGCAGACTGATAAATTTATTTATTCATCTATTGAACAACTGAATTATACAAAATGATGATGTTGGGACTTTAGCTTTTTTTTTTTTTTTTTTTTTTTTTAGTTACCTGGCATTTCTAGATGTGCATTTCACTGAATTCTAAATGATAAAATGTAAACCAACAGGCATTTTTTTTCTTCTTCAAGTACCTTTAGGCAAATTCAATAAAGCAGAAACACATCTGAGATGGGACTTATTGGAAAGAAATATAAGAGGAGCATGTCCTCTCACCAGAGTGGACCTTGACTCCGGCTTTGGCAACCCATCTCCCCCAGCCCCTGCACATGCTATTACCTATCACCACTCACTGCATTTGTGATTAATTTAACTGAAATATTTGTAGATATAAACTCACCAAGAAACACGACTGGGGGCTGGGGATGTGGCTCAAACAGTAGTGCGCTCACCTGGCATGCACAGGGCGCTAGGTTTGATCCTCAGCACCACATAAAAAATATAATAAAGATGTTGTGTCCACCAAAAACTAAAAAATAAATATTAAAAACATTCTCTCTCTCTCTTAAAAAAGAAAGAAATCCAACTGCCACTCCTCCCTTTGAACTTGCACAAAATTTCCCACATATTCAGTCTATACAATAATTTCATAGCTACATGAAATTGGTATGAAAGAGCAAATACAAATTATGCTATCTTTTTACATTCTCCTTAGCCACAAAAAAATCATAAGTTAAACATTGACATGGAATAAAATTTATGAAAACTACAAAATACTTAAATTGATTCTGCTAAAAAAGATATTAAATCTTAATGACTAGGAAACTTCCTTAGAGAAATAAAACACAATGTTTAAATAGAATTAAAACAGCAATATAGATGTTTAAAAAATTAATAGTAAATCATAGCACCTACATGAGTTATTAATTAAGCAAAAAAACCTGTGATCATAAAGATTTTAATCACTACCATTTTAGCTTCTGCTGGATATGTAAATTATAACAGATGAAGAGAGAAACGTGATTGAGGAAAAAAAATGACACCCTCCTTCTGTTACATTTTTTTTCTTTTGGTTGACATGTTTTTGGTGACAGTTTTTTCTCACAGTTAAAAGTTGTATAAAGTCAATTTTAAAGGAAACAAGTAAGAAATGCTCCTTAAGTGGGGAGAGCATTTCATTACTAGCAGTAAAGTTATGTAGTTTGGGAGATGATTTATAGACAAATAAACAAATGCAGAAAAGAGGTTAAGTCTGGGCAGATTGGCAAATTTTGTTCACTTATTGGCATCCCTATACCAGGCATCTGAATTTCAAGTTTATACAGGAACACACTTATGGCTTTTATAGAGTTACAATATCCCTAATGTTTAAAGCTCTATTTTGTATTTTTATAGCCTTACAAGCCCTCCTCAAATCCATTTTCTAAAAATCTTTTCCAAATTATGGCTATAAAATGGCCTTGTATTAGTCCAGGAAATTACCCGAGCCAATGTTGTTGAAGCTTTCCCTCTCTCTCTCCCTCTCTCCCTCCGACACATGCACACACACACACACATGAACACGCACACACACACAATCCCTTATACATAACAAAATACAGAAATTGTAACAAGAAAAATAAAATGTCAGTTGAACAGTTGAAATGCAGTTAAAGCTCAAACACAGATGAAAGAACCCCTGTGAAATCCCACCCCTGCCTTCTGTCACACATGTGTATATTCACACACACGTCACATACATGCATGAATACTTGCACATGCATGCACAGAGAGAAGACCATGATCTCCTTTAGAAGCAGTGGCATTGCTCAATTTATGTTTCATCCAACAAGGGTGCCTGACTAGTGTTAGATGCCCAATGACTATTGAGGGAAAGTAGAAAGGAAAGAAAAGGAAGGAGGGAGGGAAGGAAGAAAAGAGAAGGAAGGGAGAAAGAAAGAAGTAATGGAGGGAGGAAAGCAAGGATTTAGGAAATGATGTTGGAATACATCCCATCTTAATCCCAACAGTGACTGCCATGTCACAGGTTAATTCCAGCTGAGAGATATCTATTCAGGGGCCTGGGACTGCTTTTCTGCGCAAGTATAAAGCACCTACCTAAGTGATATGATTTCAGGTAGGATCAGAGGAGCCCCTGGTTAAAAAAGCAATGGTTCTTCCCCCAACATATTATTGATGATTGAAATTCCTGTGAATGGGCTCAAGGATTTCATTATACTGTGACTAATAATTATCACACCTCAGGCATCAATCACTAGCAAGGGTGTCCCACTGTCCTGGAATCTTTACCTACTAAAGTCTAATAGGTTAACCCATGTTTTCCTTGAGAGTAGACTTTGAGCATAATGATGAGAAACAAAAGGAGTCCTTAGACACTGGAAAATAATATAAACCAAAGAAAAGGTACAAAAAGGGTCTGAGACTATCCTCAAATTTGCTAGTATGTGATATAATCATTTATTGCTATCACCAATGAAGCTAGACAGGAACAACCTACAGAATTGAATTTATAATTTAAAATGATATATTTTCATCATTTCCCTGACCTCAAATAAATGCAAGATTCATTGGACCTAGTCACATAGTGGTCTTGTAGGGTGTTAAACACAAAGGTTGTTTTAAGTTGTCTCCTACCTACAAACAACTGGCTGTTCAGCTGCAACCGGAAATGGCCCTCCTCTGAAGTCTCTCTGGTGCTCCTTGGAAGGCTGTCCACCTGAAGGGAGGTCTCTTTGAGGTTCCTCTCAGCCCGGACATAATGCCATTGGTTGTCATTCAGAGCAGAAGGAGACTGGACTACAAGTTCTACTGGGCCATTCCCAACATCAATGGCAAATGTGATCTCAGAAGGAGCTGAAACAAAACAAGAAAACAGGCAGAAGGATGAAAGATGAAGGAAGTTCTCAGTGTGTGGAGGACACAAGTATGTCCTGAATGAATGAGAGAAACAATTAAAGTCACTGTCATTACATAGCAGACATACTCTTTAAAATCAACACTGAAGTTGTTATTAATAATAACAACCACTAAATACTAAGAGCATACATGTTCCAAGCACCAGCACCCTACCTAGTTGGTCCTAATGGTGTAAATCCAGGAAATAGCATAGGAAACTGGGAAACTTATGCCTATGTGATAAACACTAATCTATGCAGAGGCTCCTGGGTCTTCTCAGGCTTCAGCTGTGTCATCCTGGACATCTGTAGATATGAGGTCATGTAGGCACTTTTGCTACTACAGAGAGGAGACACACAGCCTAAGCCCAGTACCCACTTTCATGATATCTCATTAGTACATATGATACAAGCATATATGCTGTTCCTGTGTCTAAAACAAACAAGAACAAAATTAATTTGAGAGACTAATTTCCTTGACCAAGGAGAGATGACTGCAATGCCTTAACACAAACGCAAGCCTCTGCTTCCACGTTGGATTACTTTTATGCCTCTTTTTGTCACTCTAGAATAATCAGATATCACCAAAGTTAGGTGGCAGCCAGTTAAGAGAAATAATACCAATGATATTAAAATACCACAAGTATCAGGGTGGTTGTGATGGTGATGGTAATAATGGTGGTGGTGATGGGAGTGATGACATTGGTTGTGGTGGTAGTGGTGATGATGGTGGTGACTGTGTGTTGATGAATGGAGTTGACGTTGATGATGATGGTGATGGTGCTCTGTAATGATTGAGAGGGATGGACGGACGTGGGAGCATAATAGGTAGACTGAGCTCTCTATCAGCCACTGTGCTAAGTACTGATGGTAAACCCTCTCATTTTAGTCTTCAAAATATCCCAGGTTGGGAGGGGTAACATTATTATTCCCATTTGAGTGGAAAAAGGCTCCAAGAAGTATGAATAATTTGCTCAAAATGTCCCAGAAAATAGTAAGAAGCAAACTCCAAAAGCAGATTTCTCATCATTTTTCTCTATTGAGAATATTGTCTTGCATTTTCCATTATTACACAGGAATTATGTAAATTTGAAGGAAGTGGAGAAGTTAATTATAAAAGTGAGGTTGAGGAGAAGGGTCTCATGTGAGAAAATGGAGCCTTCATATGCCAGACCTTGTGGTCCTTCTCGGCACTCCTTGATTGTCTCCTCTTCTCTCCCCTTTCAATCAGAAAATTTGCATTTATTTACTTGACAAAGTCATCAACAGCCAGATCTAAATTATCAAGATACCAACGGTCATCCACTTCCCCAGACTAAAACCTTAACAAAAACGTTTCCTTCCTATAAGAAGCCTTTATAATGCAACATTTCAAGTAACCAGAGACCACAGATTGCTTCACCTTCTTGTGAGCTGTGACCTTAATGAGAAGCAGTAAGTCTAAGGCTGAAAAGGGGGATTTGAGAGAATACACTGATACCACCTTTTCCTAGAGTAAGTTTTTGATGACACACTTTCTCAGTTTTCTCATCTGTAAAATGAAAATAAAAGCAATACCTAGTCATCAGGTTGTTTATAATATTAATCTATTTTTAAAGATTTTTTTAAAATATTTTTTCAGTTGTCAATGGACAATGTATTTATTTATATGCAGTGCTGAGAATCAAATCCAGTGCCTCACACATGCTAGGCAAGTGCTCTTCCACTGAGCCACAACCCCAGCTCTATATGTTAAACTTGGTGAAGTTTTTGAAGTGTGCCTGCCATCCAATATGAGCCCAAGTTAGGGATGCTACTGTCACTACTTCTGGATGACATAATTTCCCCACCCAGGTGACTTGGCTATGACTTACAAAGCCATGCATGGAAGGAAATGGAATTGAAAGAAACAAATGGGTGACAATTAATGGATAAAAGTGAAGAAAGTCCCTAGAGTCATTTTTTATTTCTGATTCACAACATCAATGGCACTTTGCAGCCCCAAACATTTCAAAACCAAATGATTGCTGAGAGATGAAGAGGTTCTGTATTTATTTCTCTCTACAGAATATAGGTAACAATAAGTAAGAATTTGGAGGGAAGAATTTTAAAGATTTTGCTAACAAATATTCCTGCAAAACCAGCCTTGTGGCGATCAAGTTCCACTCAGAGAGCACATTCTGGTGGGGGGCTCTGTGCTTGGCTGTGTCTTCCCCCACCTCTATGCTAGGTTTCCATGTATCCCTTATTGTTAATAATTGGTTTGCTGTGTATCCCCCCTACAAATCTGCAAAATCTGGATGAACTCTATTTATTTTAGACCTAGCACATAACCCTGGAAGCTCTTGCCAAATTAAAATTTTATTCATTAAAACATGGTTATATTGCAACTATAAAATGCAATTTTCCTTAGTTATTCTTTAGCTTTATATCAAGATATTAGGTTCCTGGAAAATTTTTTTAAATATTATTTTATTCAAATAACCATTAAAGACCTACAACATTTAATCTTTCCCTCCTAGAACTGAAAGAGTCAGTGAAATGAAGTACTAACAGTTAATATTTACTGAGTGCTTGCCATGAGCCAGGCACTCTGCTAAGCATTTTGGGATGACCTAATTCACTTGAGCCTTATTACTGCCTTGTGAGATTGTTACCTTACAGATGAGAGAACTATGGTACAGGTGACAAAACAAGTCATCCTAGTGGCAATGGGGTGGAGTAAAGTTTGATTACTGGTGATGTGTTTCTGAACCTCATTTTCAAAACCATTTCTCTAAACCTCACATTGAGACTCCTATATACTCTTTGGGGAAAGTTGAAGCTAGAATATATAATACAGATACTTGAAAATAATTGAATGAAATATTTGTGGGTGAATGAATGATACACCCCACAATGCCTACAGACTATGTGGTGGTGCACTGGAGCAAACCCAAGCTACTATGAATGACCCAGTGGCCCTGGGGAGGGTGGCCCTGGGAAAGCAGTAACTCTATGATAAACTTGCATCTGACTTTTCCACACCCTAAGTGTCAGAAAGATACCTTCTCTCAGCATCAACTATTTTATTGTAACCATAAAATAGTGACCATAAAGGAGTCGTCACGTTAGCCTTTGAATGGGTTTTTATCAAGTCAGGTCCTCTGCTAGGCACCAAAAATTCAGAAATGAATGGGACAAGAGGAATCCACATTTTAATTTAAAGATTGATAGTGGGATGTGAAAATGCCCCAACGGAATGTTAACCAATGCTATGACAGAGGAGAAGAAGCCTTCTGACCAGAGGCACCTTTATGATGTTCTTCCTGACCTCCATGGGAAGACCTGCTGACCATATCCTTGAGAGTGTTCTCTTAGTAAACCCTCACACGTCTCCTCTGAGGACGAAGTCCTGAGCTTCATGAACATTAAAGCCCAGCTTCATTTCTGTGTCCTCATCTCCCAACCCGGGTCAGACATGAGAGTGATCTCAGGTACATTTGTGGAATAAGGAGGTTGCAAGTCTTTAATGTAGCCAATTAACCTCCCTGACCTCTCATGTCCACATCTATAAAATGAGAAATATGAACTGAGAGGAAGAAATATGGTCATAGTGTTCAGACACAAGCGCTCTCTGAGGATCTGATGACTGCTGTGATTTTTGTCTTTTACACTATAGTTTTGCACAAAATCTCAGGAACTTTGTGAATGCCCTATGCCTTGAGATCTGGAGGAAAGTCATTCTGTGTTCTCCTGAGTCCTAACATTCTTGAATCTTGAGACAATTCTTCAAAGCAGAGTAGGGAGCTGATGTAAGGATCAGAGGGATGGGATTGAGTCCTGGATTCTGAGCCTTCAAAGTGCATGGAAGGACTTTCTGGATTGTTATATATACTCTCCAGGTTCATTTTCTTCCTCTGCATATTGGATGAGAAATTGAGCAATGATAATTATAGTACAATTCAGAGATAATCATAGGTAGGATTATTTGAAAACAAAAGGAATTAATGTAAAGATTTTAGTCAAGAAACTAATCAACGTAATCACTCAACAATTCAGTGAAAATTAATTTTAGCAGTCTTAATTTTTACTATTCTCTGAGGTTATGACTATCATATATTCAAATTAACATTGAATTTAGTAATATTCTTAGTAGGATACATCTGAAATGAAAACTTTAAATATTTCTGTCTCTCTACATATATATGTATATATACATGACATATACTTATGTTTTTTTTTTTACTCAGAAACTCAGGAAATTTATGGATTTTTTTTCTACTTAATTCACACTGAGAAGTATTATAGAGATTATTTGAATTAATATTATTAAAATCATCCAGATAATTAGAATAAAAAATGAAAAGATTAAATTTTAATCATTTACAGAATAAGTGATAATATATTAGGCCACAAATAATACTAGGATTACAATTGCACTGAAAACTAATATGTCCAAAATTAAATGCCTATTTGCTGGTTCCCAATAACCACTCTGGGTATATTTTTTTGGGGGGGAGAATACCAGGGATTGAACTAGGGGCACTCAACCACATCCCCAGCCCTATTTTGAAAATTTTTTTTAAGAGATAGGAGCTCACTGAGGTGCTTAGTTGCTCTCTTTTGCTGAGCCTCTCTTTGAACTCACCATCCTCCTGCCTCAGCCTCCCAAGCTGCTGGAATTACAAGTGTGTGCCACCAGGCCAGAACTCTGGGCATTTTTATGCAATGACTCATCTCAATCCTGAAAGATGTGCCTTAGAAGAAATCATAATTGATTTCCTTCTACCACTCCCTCTATAATAGTGCCAGAGTTTGCTTTGGGAAACTACCTTCTCTTGCACTTTGGTATCAGGCTAGCTTTGCCTCAGATGGGAGGGATTTTAGCATAAACAATCTACCATCTTTTCTTGTCTGGCCACAGTCTTTGGTGTCCAGGTTATCAGGTGAGTTTTATACTACCTAAATATTTGATTATCTGGAAATGAAATGACTCTAGTCTTTTGCAATGTAACTCTGCTGTAAAGGACAGCTAGCCTGAAGGAAATATTAAGAATTTAGAGCACAGAGAAGATACAAATCATCCACTGATGACTTTTTTTCAGTTGCTGAATTCAAACAAATGAAGCCAGACCCATGGCCTCTGTGCTAAGCCATGCACCCCAGAACCAGGGTTGAATTCCCATTCTTGTGTCTGTCAGTTCAGAATGAGTTTTCTGTTAATTGTGGCCAAACACATCCAGTTGGTATCTGAGTGTTGTCAATGCCATGGTACATTAATAAATACTGAACAGGTGAAGAAATGTCCAAAGTGGCTCATGAAATGACTTGGACAGACAGAAATCTGAATCTATATTGGGCTCTATAATTCAAGTTCTTTTTATTACATTATACCTACTCTTAAAAGTGATTTCCTATGCTCCTTCTTATCTAATCCAAATACCTAGTTCCATATGCATACCATTGTGGGATAATTGTCAAATGGCAATTTTTCCCACAATCCTGTTTGAAACACATTCTCTAAAACTTGAGAATATAGTGAAGTATTTTCCTTTTCACAGACTACAGGCTAATCCCAAGGTGACAGAACCCAAATGCCTTAGTTGGAAGTAACTTAGAAGAAATGGATTGGAAATTTGACGGAAACCTGCTGTTTCCTGTCTATCAATTTGGATATATCAACCTTGGAAGCTGCTATTCAGATGGTTATAAAGGAATACTCCTTGGGGATGGAAGCAGAATCTATTTGGAGCCTCTGCATCTGGTAAAAAGACTTTTCCTTTCCAAGCAGCTAGAGTATATGGGTTCCTTGCTATGAACTCTTTAGGGTAAAAAAAATCCCATCTGCCTAAAATCCATAATGTGAGTGAAGCTGCAAATAAAAAATGCAAGATGCCCTCACAATTTGAGCATTTTCTCTTATAAACAATAATAGTGATAAAGATAATAACATATTTTGGAAACATGAAACCTTGCACTTTATTTTTTTATATTAAATCTTGTTTTAGAAATCTAAATTCACCAATCTCGTGATAAAATATGCACCAAATAATTACATAAATTAGTTTTTTTGGTAAATTTTTGTATTAAGAATATCTTTGTACAATTCAAAGGGCAAAAAACAGCACCACAAAGTACAAATTAGAAATTGATATGTAATTAATGCTAAATTATAACTCATTATCCTCCAAAAGTATACCATGACTTTGCTGTGGCTTTAATGAATCAAAAGGCCGTGGGGCCTAATTTTTATTACATTTACAGTGAGCTTATTGCTTCCATATTATGCAACATTTTCAGAGCATGGCCAAGTTAGTATGAGGAATTTCATTTTACACCATAGCCACAAAAGCTTCCTCCCATTAGTAGACTAAATCCTTAGAGGAAAAGGTGAAACTCCCAATTAAGAGGCTCTCTTGCTTTGTATGTATTGTCCTGTAGCTGAAAAGAAAACACTTAGCTGTTCCTTGATTTGCGGGAGATTTATACAAGTATCTCTGCCATCTCTACCAGGCAATGCTTCTGTTTCCTTTTCCAGATCTCTCAAATCCCCAGTGTCTGTTTCTGAAGTGTTGCTTTGTTTTTTCAAGATATTTCATGCAGTCACATCATTGTTGTGATATGGTCAGTTGCTTCACTCAAACTATACACAGAGGGATGGGGCACTCAGTGACAGGCCCAAGTCATCACTCTCATGTGCATAACAAGGGCAAGGCAGGGGTGTAGTCCACACTCTGTTTGTGAGCAATAAAAGTATGCATTGGGTGCAGAAAACCTAAAGGAATGGCATAAGCAATTAAAATGTATCTGATTCGTTCTGGTTTTTTGTTTTGTTTTGTTTTGTTTATTGGTACTGGGGAGTGAATCTAGGGACGCTTAACCACTGAGCCACATGGTCAGCCCTTTTGTGTATTTTATTTAGAGACATGGTCTCACTGAGTTACTTAGAACCTCACTAAGTTGCTGAGTCTTGCTTCCTGGCTCAGTCTCCCAAGCCAGTGGGATTACAGGCATGCACTACCATGCTTGGCTTTATTTTCATTATTGAACAGTAATTCTAAGCAATGTCAATGATAAAACATTCCTCCACCAAAATAGTTTTTTGCTCATCTACCTTTCGACAGATGCTAAAGTCACTGTAAAATTTTAATAATGTATATATCAACTTCATTTTATTACTATATTTTATTACTTGCCACTTAATAAATGTTATAGTCTGGGGCAAAGTCAATACAGACAACTATTTAAAGTGTATTTAAACACTGCTGGCTTCTGAACATGCAGACTCACACACATGTTTATTTTCAAGAGTAAGAACTCAACTTCTGCCGTTTTATCTATACACTTTCTGTGCCATCATTGTTTAGCTTGAATCTACTATTAAATGCAAAATGTTCAGTACCACAAGGGTTGTACCCTAAAAGAACTCAAGAAATTATAAAGCATTGGAAATTTTATTTTCACTTAAAAAAAAAAAACGTATTATTAATTTTCTGGTAAAAGCAGAAGATATTTGGTTTCAGAGCTATTTGGAATTTCGTAGAGCTGATCCTAAAACAATACAGATACAGTACCATAATTTCTGGAATTTATTGTAAAATAGAACTTTTATTAATCTTTAGCAAACATTTGCACATCTGTGGCTTTATGTGGAAAACCAATCTAATTTAAAATTAATAAAGAAATATTCTTTGTTCAACATAGAACACAGATGGACAAATATGACTAAGACTCTCTTTTTAACACAAACATGTATACAAAATAAATTTTGATGAAGTCATCAACAAATTTGTAGAAATAAAGATTTAGAAACAGAAATGTTAATGTCTTCATTACTGGTAGAGATCAAAAGATTGGTACTTCTCATTTTTAAAGAAATTATTTGCCATTGTATTTCATGTACTGAAATATATTTTAGTAGTATCATTATATATAAACTGCTCAATAGTAGAAGATTTTACTATTTGTATTTCTATTTTTTTTCAAATCATGTGATGATTATTGCTGAAAAAAATCTGTATATGGGGGATGGGCTCTCTATAGGAAGATGGACATCCTGGCATCTCATTCTGTAGATATGCCCCTGTTCATGAGGAAAAGATGGGGAAACTGAGAATTCTGATTGTCTAGTAACACTATCTTAGTGGGAGGAGAGAAGTCAGGAAATCACTTTTGAAGCACCAGTGCAACAAAGAGTTTACCTCAAATGTCAACAAAACGTATAATTATGATAATGATCTCTACTTTCCATAAAAGGTATATTCCTTTGGTATAAAATCTCAAAGTCATGGGTAAAAAAAAAATAACCATGGCTCAGATAATGGAACCCACAATAGGTATCATCAAGAATTTCTGGAATGTATATATTTTGATGACAGAATGACTCATAAATGCTGATAGGACATAGTTAGATCATAAAGAATTCAGAGGAAGTGGAAATTATCACTGCTAATTTTACCCTTGTCCAGAAAGATTAACTTGATGATAAAACACCACTGTGCTGTGGTTGGTGTCAAAGTCAAGGCTAACACTTATCCTGAAGATCAATGATAGTAAATTTGTAGATGAGGGCACTTACAGCTTATTTCAAGTCGGATGAAGTCTTTAATGCCAAGGTTTTCAAGGAAAACTCCAGATAAAGCGGTGGTTTTAAAAAAGAAGGAAATATCGGCACTGAATTCCGCATGGAAGGTAGGAAAGTGGAGATAAGAGGCTTCAGTATAAAATGAAACAGCATTCCAGAAGTGTCCTGCAAATGAGAACATCCTTAAGCATGGTTCATTGTTTTCTATGCAGGATGGAAAACACTGGGCATGTGGATAATTTTCAGGACTAGGGGAGACTGCAGGGAAAAGGAATAAGCGAGTTAAAACATCTTGTGCTCATGTAATGCAGAGAGAAAGCTTCTTTCGATTTAGTACTCACGGTCGCCATAGCAACGCAAGGGACCAATTCTCCAAGCAGCTTCTGAGTTTGATCTGTTGGTATCAGTGATAACTATCTGAGTGACAGGCAAGTGGTCTTTGAAGGAAAGAAAGCCAGTATCATTTGTCCTGCAAAATATAAATTGAAAAAAAAAAAGAGGACAAAATGTGAATAATCTCAGGACTCTATGTCAAGACCCCTCTTTTCAAAAGTAACCTGATTTGATTGTAGAAGGCACGAGTGCAGGAGTATAGCAGACGGTCTTTCATCTCAGGAGTGTATATGGAAGGCTGGAATGCCAATTACAAAACCCATGGCCGGCTTCCAAATACCACTGGATTTTACATCTTCCCTAAATGTGGTTGCAGAAACACTGATAGTTTACAAGGATTTCTGCTACTCCTTGTGACTAAGAGCACCCCACCTGCCCAAAACAGTGCTAATGTAATATTAAACGTCACCTCACTTCCTCATAAAAAAAAATCAGCTATCTTAGCAACTAACTTGAAATAGACATCACAAATCCCTCTCAAAGTCACTCCAAGGACTTGTTTCAGTCACCTGCCAACAGGTTTTAATCAGCTTAAGATGTTTCTTATCACTTTTTAATTCATGTAAATATAAATCTTTATAGTTACTGGTTGCTTTTCATTTTGTTCTTCCTTTTAAAGATCTTAAAAGTTAATGACTCTGACTTTGTTGGTGTTAATTATGCAAATAAGAAATTGACTAGTTACCTTTTGATAAGAGAGTTTATTTAAAAAAATAGGGAAAAAACCATTGTTCCCCCCCCACACACTTTCTAGGTAAAAATCAGAAGTAAAAAAACTGGCATTGAAAGTATGAATATTGTGAGCCAGAAATTGACTAGGGATGGGTATATTTTTAACACAGAAATGCCTGTTCAGTGAATCCCATTAACTCCATTTACAGATGGAGAAACTGAGGCCATCACAGTTCCTAATGTGCCTAAATTCACATTGCAGAAGGGACAGGAACCAAGTCGCATTCTTGAAGTGCCCCAGTATCTGTCACATGTCTTTAAGGACAAAGCTTTATAAGTACACACATTTGCTCTGAAATTCCAGGTCTCAGTTCCTAGCTGTGTCAGTTTGAGCAAATAAATTCCTTTCTGAAATCCTCACTCTACTTCGTTTCTAAATGGAGATACATCTGCAATAACCACATTTAAAGGATTAAGTGAGATTATATAGTCACTGAGCATGGTGCCTGCTCTATGTTAAATATTCCAAAATCTAAGTGGTGACACTTACTTTAGTTCTCTCATTTGTCCCTGAACCACTGTGTGGCCTCAGGCAAGTCATTTTTTTTTTTTTAATGTATCTAGCTGTGACTCTGTATTGGAGATTTCTTGCTATATAGGACATGTGGAAAATTGAATTTTAAGATTCAGGTTCAAACTCACAAGCTTTTAAGAAAACACATATTAATTTATTTTGGTTATAAATAAATCAAATATTCACTTGCATACTTTTCCCTCCAGTACTATTAACCAAAAATGCTAAGAAACACATTATAGAATACCTATAATTTGAGTACCATATTTGGAGGACATTAAAATGATCTAATTTTAGGTTTAGAATTTAATTTAGATCATTAAATTAATCTAGAATTAGGCTTTATTTTCAGTTTGAAAGCACATCTATGAAAGTTATGTAGACATAGAATAAACTTGTCTTTTACATTCCGATATATTTTCAAATAGATTTTAAAACAAATTTCAAATAGACAAAGTAGAATGAGTATCAAGCCCAGATTCTTTCCTGAAGAAACTTGGTGATTTTATATAGTATTTTATTTCTCTCCATTTTTACTTTCAAGGTAAAAATGATTGATTCTGAAGTCTGTCCATCAATGCTAACTTCTACCTCCTTTACACACTATGGCATCTTGCCTGCATCAATTTGATGTTCTTGTGTCAAAGTACTGGCCTATACAAATAGACCTGTAAGAACGAAAATCTCTTCCCAAAAAAAAGAAAAAAAAAAATCACATTTAGTTTGATGATGCAAGACACATCACCAAGCACACTATTTGTTGTTGTTGTTGTTGTTCTAAAAACTTAAACTGAAAGAAAAAGTAAGTTGCTTTCCAAAAGTTGTTTAAAGTAGCAGAAACAGATACAAACTCAAATGCCTAGAGGGGCCAGGCAGGTAATAAAAAGAAGTGAAGCCAGCTTTATGTTAGTAATAAATGGAACCTGATACACAGCTTCATTGTCATAGAGTGGGTGAGAAGAGTGCCTGGTAGAAACTAGATGTCTCTCTTAAAGTGGGGCAGCAAGTTCCATTAGCAACAAGTAATAATGCAAATCAAGAATGCAAGACCAATGGGCTAGCCTGGAATCTTAATATGAGATGTTTCCATTGCAAATCTTGGCAAAGTGCTTAAAATTCTTTAAAAAAGCCAAATGAATAAAAACATGGTGGGAACCAACTCTGAGTGGGCCAATAAACTACATGTAAGGGTTGTGTTCAGCCTATAGGGAAGTAAGCTATCAAGGGGAACTTACAAATTTATTCATGCCCTTAGGGATGCATTGAGAATAAAATTAGATTAAATTTAATTTATGAGTAGCAAGTGTAACTTCACCATTTTGAAACCACGAATAGAATGTTTGGGGTGATACTGATAGCGGTCGTGGTGGTGGTAGTAGATTGAATAATAAAATGATATGAATTATAGTAATACCACCTGACAGGTAGGGAGACTGAAGCTGTAGAATTATTTTTTTCACATTAAAGCTAACATTTTTTAAATACTGACTTCCTCTGAAATGATCTATGAGATCTTTGTTATATAACTGCAGTTTTGAGGTGACTGTCATAGTGGGAAAGCATTTTCATTAGAAACAAATTAGCAAGAGCTGGAACTATGTGGCTCAGTACACTAGTTGTATGACCAATGAGATCACTCTGGACCTGTTGCCTTACCTTCTGAATGGCTATAATACTACTAATGGATATTTTGCTGTAAAAATCAAAGTCAATAATTTATAAAACAGCTAACATGCTGAGAAGCAGAGAGACTTGATAAATACTTAATGAAATTATCAGTGATATTTGAAATAAAAATGCTAAATGAAGGGAACCTCATTGTTGGAAGGAATGGGCAGGCTAGCCAAAGGGTCCAACTCATAAGAGCATGTGGATCAAAAGAAAACTCAAATTCTCACTCAAGAGCTGGGCTGAGGCTCAAAATCAGTCAATGTGGTTGCTCCTTAGCTTAGTTATTTGAATCTGGAGATTTCTCTAAATTTAGAAAAGCCGAGCTGAGGTGGGAGCTGCTAATTTACTAGTATAACCTTGGAGCAAAGTGTGGTGAAATGCCACACGCTAAATGTTATTTCCATCAACCAATTTTGGTTAACTGTTGCTCTGGAACCTTCTTTTAGTACAGTCATTTGAGTGACTGAATCCATTAAGAGGGATAATGTTTTTTCCCCTTTTTATGTCCTTTCCTATTTCAATCACTCTAAAGTAACAAATAAAACATTATGCATATGGCAGGCAGACTTAGAAAATTATAGGATGAACTCAAGACCTCAGCAACTTTTGAAGTCCTTGTGTGAACTCGAGTGGATTAATATTAATAGATTCTAAATAACCTTCCTTAGAGTGGGATGCACAATGTTGTTCCCTGTGGTTGCAAAGTGAGGATGACCAGTAGGATGGCCACAAGCAACTCTGCAAATCTGAAGTTCTATATTGATGTTTGCCAATGACTCTATTATAGCTTTGTTTAGAAGGCATCAGTTGCATTTTGACTTCCTTCTCCAGACTTCCCAGGAAAAAGACCCAGGGAATTAGTTGATAAGAATCTCAAAATGAGCTGAAGGGTCACTTGTCTGTTAACAAAAACAAATGCAAACATTGACAATGTCTACACATGGATAACACCCATCCCACTGTGCTTCCTGGACTATTCTTTTTTAAGTCCTGAGCACAATAAACATAAAGAAAATATTACTTGCATACACATTTAAAAAATTCTGAAACTGTTTTATTTTCTATAAATACTCTAGAAACCTGAAAGCCTAGGGCTCTTCACAATTAGATGTAAGAAAACAAAGTCAGGTCTTGGCCTAAGAAATCACAGTCAATGTTTACTCAATATCACTTTCCTGTGAAGAGATAAAAATGGCCCTCAAGACTTTATAGGTATGAAACTGATTTAAAAATAGTGTCACTGATGAAAAATCGTGGAGGCATCATTTGCTGAACATACTCTGGATTCACAGATTTGAAAGGAACAACCAGTAGTGCCATAAATATATGCCTTTCTAGACTCATCAGTCCTAGTCAGGAAGCAAGTAGATTAAAAGTCAAAACCATTGGATTGTGGAGCACACACACTTGTGATTCAACATCACTTAGATGCAAATGACTCCATACCCATCTCTCTCATTCCCTGAAATAAATCAATTCTTTTTTCAACTCTAAAAATTTTGCCATACTCAAATTCAGTTCCTCCTCAAAAATGTTCCCAAATGTTCTGTATCCTGTCTTCTTTCTCTGCCCTAAATTCCTTCTTCTATATATAATTTTTACATATATATATATATATATTATATACAACGATGTCTGATGTTTGTTAACAAATTGACTTGTGTGCATTGTGGGAAGCCATTCTTGCATATGATTGGGCACCTCCCGGATTGGGTGTGAGGCGTTCTGGCAAAACTGTTTCGGAGCTATCCCCACCCTCTCCAGGTGCAAGAGCCTGTCCGTGTGGGGGTGTGACTGACCACTGACCCTGAGGCCAATCACTGACCCTGACCTTGGAATGCTGCCCCCCTAGACCTTCATTGGATGGAATTTTCCCCTGAATTTCTGTTCCCCAATAAAAGGCCACTCCCTGGTGTGCTCTTTCTCTCTCTTCTGCTAGCCCTGAGTAAGCCTTGCTGCCCCACTGGATGGTTTGAGGTGAGAGCCAGAGAGGTGAGAGCCGTCTTGGACCTGGTCATAGAAAAAGGTAATTGAGTCTGTGTGTTTTATTTTGATCTCACTAGTTAACTTCTATGCCACGAACCTCTTTAATGAAACGTGTGTGCTGGTCACCTGGTGGAGTGCATGTAATTATTTTTCCCATTGGAAATGGGTTGATA